AATTATCTTCATGATCCATAATTGCCTCTACATGATCTTAAATCCCGACAAAGTCACGAAAATCATCGGATGATATAAAATGTTTATTGGACACATCACTGGAGATATGTTCAATCATCTTTGCTTCGTCTTTCCCAGTTCTGAGACAAAACCTACGAAACAAGTTTAAGGAAAGAACAACATACCAGTTCCGAGAGTCTTCTCCAGCTATACTTGCCACCTCTGCAAGAGCTTTCTTCCATCTTTTTATATCATCTTCTGTTTTGCCTTGGCATGTAGTTTCAAAGGCCTTGCCAAACTCTCCACACTGTTTTCTAACATGAGAAGGATCAAGCTCGTAGAAAATCGAAATCACCATCTGATCCGATTCTTCATGACACTTGCGGATCTCCGCCAATTCATTCAAACACCATGTAGAAGAAGCATACTTCTTAGAGAAAACGACGATCGAGATCCTCGAGTCTCTAATCGCTGACAAAAGCTCAGGGCCGATCGGACGGCTTCCCATGGTCTATTATATTAATTAATCAAACTAAAAAATACCCACAAAAATACATAGATGATTAAGACACCTAATTAGCTTTTTATTTTCTTAACATGATTTTGGCCATCAATAACCAAAGCAAGAAGACATGGTTATCTAATGGTGTTTAAATTTTTTTTCATAGCTAAGTGATTATACCCACGAAAATTATACAACGCTTCTATTATATCCTCTACATATTATTTTAGAAGTGATTATTCAAAAAAAGTTATGTGACTTCTTCATATTCACTCTCTCCACGCAATATCATACAATATCTAAATATGACATTGCAAAACTCTTTAAAAATTTTAGCCTTCTAATGACAAAACTCTTTTAATTTTTATAGAAGTTTAGTCCATAAATTTTTGTTGTATTTAGCCCACTAATCAATCTAACTTATATCCAAAAAAGCTATACCTAGCTAACCTCCATTGTATTATATATACAGGAGATGATGATAACAACCAATTTATTTTTTCTCTTATCAACAAATTATATTTTTTGAAATGGGTTTTCTCTATGATTATAATATTGTCGATCTAAATAATTCTAAGTATAAATGGGGTTTTCAGTGTTTATATTTTCAAATTTGTGTTAAGTAATATAATAATAAGTGAAGTCAATATGTAAATATTATATTTTCCTAATTAGTGGATTGTAATTAAAAATCGTTTTTTTCTTTAACAAAATATGAAAAATGTAAAAGAGGGTAACCATAAAAAATAGAAAATAACAAACGTTTGAAAAAAAAAAGTAAAGTACTTACTCTTTATGTTGTATGAAAATTTTATTACCTTTTTTTGTTTACGAATAAATTTTGATATCAGTTTCAATATAACGATGACAAATTCAGTTTTTATTCAAAATTCAATGTGAAGAAAATGGTTTTTTTAAAAGAGATGATCAAATAGTGGATTCATTATTTTGTTAGAGGAATCTCAAAATTTTATAGAATGTGCATCCCAATAAATTAAATAATATATTTTGATTTAACAAGATTACGTATATAAAATAATAAAATAGTAAAACTTAACGTTTGAAAATTCATATTATTAACAAAAATAACATTGTTTACAAAACAATTTAA